CTCCTCGCATGTTCCGTGGCCCCGATAGGGGCTCCACCTAAGGCCCCAGTGGCGGTGTTCACATGCGGCCGCCCCGCCCATTTGGGCGCACCCCTCACACGTTTCGTGGCCGCACACAGAGCTCCAACGAAGGCCCCCAGTGGCCATGTTCGCGTGTGGCCGTCCCGCCCATTTCGGCACATCCCTTATTCGCTTCGTGGCTCCACAGGGAGCTCCACCGAAGGCTCCAATGGCCATGTTCACATGCGGCCGCCCCGCTCATTTTGGCACACCCCTCATACGTTTCATGGCCTCAGGGGGAGCTGCGCCTACGGCCCCAGTGGCCATGTTGACCTGTGGCCACCCCGCCCGTTTCGTCACACGCCTCACACGCTTCGTGGCCCCATGAAGCTCCACCTAAGGCCTCACCCAAGGCCCCAGTGGCGTTGTCCACATGACGCCGCCCCACCGCATCCCTGCACACCGTTCACACGTTTCGCGGCCCCATAGGGCGCTCCACCGAAGGCCCCAGTGTCAGCGCCCGCATGCCACGTGTCGTGGTCCCATAGGGAGCTCCTCCGAATGCCTGAGGGCCCCAGTGGCAGCGCCCGCATGGCGGCCCCGCCTTATTTGGGCACACGCCTCACCTGCTTCGTGGCCCTATAAGCGGCTCTATCTAGAGCGCCAGCGGCAGCGCCCGCATCGCCGCACCGCCTCATTCCGGCACAGCATTCGCACGCTTCGTGGCCCCATGGGGAGATCCACCGAAGGCGAGGCCTTCGTTTTGAAGAGACAGCGCCCCGCATCTCCTCTCCTCTCCTTTCTCTCCTCTCGCCTATCTTCTCCTTTCCTCTCCTCTCCTCTTCTCTCCTTTCCTCTTCTTTCCTCTCCTCTCCTCTCCACTCCTCTCCACTCCTCTCCTCTCCTCTCCTCTCCTCTCCTCTCCTCTCGCCTCTCCCCTCCCCTCCTCTCCTCTCCTCTCTTCTCCTCTCCTCCCCCCTCCCCTCCTCTCCTCTCCTCCCGTTCCTCACTCGTTCTTCCTCCCTCCTCCCATTCCTGACCCTGCCCTCCTCATGTCAACAATTTTCGCCGGCCCTTACGCGTTTCGTGCCCCCATCTGGGCCCCACCGAAGGCCCTAGAGGGAGCGTTCGCATGCGACCTCGCCGCCCAATACAGTGTTCCATCACCCCGTAGGCGGCTCCGTCGAAGGCCCCAGAGGGAACGTTCGCATGCGCGCCCCCCCCACCCAGTATAGCGCGTCGTTGCCCCGTACGGAACTCCACCGAATGCCCCAGAGGGAGGGTCCGCATGCGTCCTCGCCACCCAGTGCAGCGCTTCGTGCCCCCATCTGGGGGCCCCAATGCTCCAGAGGAGCGTTCGTACGCGTCCGCGCTACCCGATACAGCGTTTCGTGGCCACATGAGGAGCTCCACCGAAGGCTCCACAGGGAGCGTTCGCATGCGCCCGCGCCAGCCAGTACAGCGCTTCGTGGCCCCATGGGGAGCTCCACCGAAGGCCCCACAGGGAGCGTTCTCGTGCGTCCGCGCAACCCAGTGCAGCGCTTCGTAGCCTCCTAGGGAGCTCCACCGAAGGCCCCGGAGGGAGCGTTTGCATGCGTCCGCGCCAGCCAGCACAGCCCGGCGTGGCCCCGTAAAAGGGGCCCCACCGAAGGCCCCAGAGGGAATCGCCGCGGCCGCATGCGCCCCCTCCACCCAGTACGGCGTCTTGTGGCACCATAGGGAGGTCCACCGAACGCTCCAGTGGCCTCCGCCGCATGCGTCCCCCCACCCAGGACAGCGCCCCGTGGCCCCATAGGGAGCTCCACCGAAGACCCCTGTGGCTGCGGCCGCATGTGTCTCCTCCACACAGTACAGCATTCCTTGTCCACATAGGGAGCTCCAACAAAGGCCCCAGTGGCCGCGATCGCGTGTCTCCCCCACGAAGTACAGCGCTCAGGAGGAGGAGGAGGAGGAGGAGGAGGAGGAGGAGGAGGAGGAGGAGGGTGAGGATCAGACAATCGAGAGGTTCAATAAAGGAGGAAGGGGTTTTGCTGCCTGAGCCCCCCTTCTCCCCCCCCCCGCCCCTGTCGCCCTCCGCCAGTGCTTCTCCCCTCTCGTGGACCCCTCCCCCCTCTTCGTGCTAGCCTCCGCTGAGGCGAGGGCGCCTTCAAAGAAAGAAGAAGAGAGAGCGAAGCAAGGAGATAATACATCGAGGAGAAACAAGAGAAAGAGGGAGAGAGAAGAAAAGGGAGAGAAAGTTTGGATCGCGCGCGACGACGCCGACGAATGACGCCGGCGAGCTCCGGCCCGCCGCGCCGCCGCCCCGCAGCGCTGTCAAGGACGTCTGCCCAGCCGTCGCCGCCCTCCTCCGGCAAGGGCTCCTGTGAAGGGCACGTTGATGGCCCGCTGAGGAATTCCTCGAGACATCAAACGAACCTCCTTATAGGGGTAGGTTCGTGAGGCGCTGGCGCGCCGGCGACGCCAGCGAAGGCGTTCCAGGCTTTAAATGCCGCGACGCGGAAGCACGGATGGACACGGTGACGCCACTGACCTGGCGGAATTCAACCTTGAACGATCGGGGCTTCGATCGACTCAAGGTTGAACGATCGACGCGGTGTCAACATCTTCTGCGCGTGCCGAGGCCGCGCAGACCTACTGTGACAGAGACCGCCCGGGACCCCTGAACGGGGGCGGGGCGGCTTGGGCCGCTGCGGGGGGGGGGCGGGGCTGCGACCGCTCTCCGGGAGAGCGGTGCAGGGGACAGCGGAGGACGGTGCTCCCGAGTGCCTGGCGTCGGGGGCGCAGTGGCATCTCGTGGCGTCGGGGGCTCCGCAGCGGACGGACGGACGTGACGGTCGGAAGCCGCCTGCCCTGCGCAGCACTTGGAGGCCGATGGGGTTTCAGGCAGGCGGCTGGGCCCGCACAGGGGCGACGCCGGCGAGCTTGGCAGTCGCGCCGATGTTGGCAGGCGCGCGCGTTGTCGCGTTACCCTGTGCGGAACTGCGCGTGGGAAGAGTCGGGGCGGCGTTTTGCAGCATCCCGTCGCTTTGTGTCGGGATTGTCATTGGAGCGGCGCCAGCGGCCGCAGGGCTGTTCTCCGACGTGGGGGTCGCGGCGCCTGGTCCGAGCATGAGCGCGATTGCTTTGCGCACAAGCACGGGGCTTCGCTTCGCTGCTGGCTGCCATGTTGTGAGCACCTGGGGGGCTGGGACAGTCGCGGATCTTGTGGCGGGGTATCAGCCTGGAGTCTCGCCAGAACAGCGCGTGCATAGTCTGTCAGTTGCAGCGTTTTTTTTTTTTTTTTTTTTTTTTTTTTTTTTTTTTTTTTTTTTTTTTTTTTTTTTTTTTTTTTTTTTTTTTGCATAGTTATATTTATATATAAGCCTTTTTTCCAAACGGAAGAAAGAAACATATTACTAATCCGAAGGTTGCAGCGTTTTTGTAACACCGATGCGTTGCGGCGTTCTGGGCCAAGCGCCTGGGCACACACCGTTTGTTGTTGTTTCGCACCCGCCGCGTCCAGCGGCGGCGCCCCCTGGCGGTGAGATATGCCTGGGCTGGTGCCGAACGGTCTCCCGTGGCCAGGGGTATGATTCGAGGGTGACCCCGAGGGCTGCGGCGGCGGGGGATGAGGAGGAGGATGAGGATCAGGTGGCCAGGTCGACCCCGTCACGACTGCATGTGCGGCCCGCGCGACGCGGGCCGTGGAGACGCCACGAGGATCGCCTCTCTCGGTGCGAGCGCAGCAGCAGGGGGTGAGTAGTGATGACGATGCGGATGGTGTGATGATGATGGTGGTGAAAATGCTGATGATGATGATGGTGGTGGAGATGCTGCTGATGATGATGGAATGATGATGATGATGATGATGATGACGATTCTGATGATGGAGGGGATGCTGATACTTGTGATGGTGGTGATGATTGTAATGGCGCTGGTGCTGGTGTTTATGATGCCGAGGGTTGTTGATGCGGATGCTGTTTAGGCTGATGGGAATACTGATGAGGCTGAGGGTGCTGCTGCTGATGGTGATCATGATGCCGATGCGGATGTTGACTGTCGCCGCGATTACGATGCTGATGCTCATGGTACTTAATGATGCTGCTGCAGATTGTGCAGATGGTGGTTGCGGTGGCGATGTCGTTGCCGTTGCTGATGACGGCAGTCATCATGTTGCTGCTGACGATTGTGATGAATACGAGGACGACGGCCACGCTGATGTTGATGATCCTTGTGGCAATGATGTTAATGCAGACCGTGCAGCTGATGATGGTGAGCATGATGATGGTTATGATGAGCAAGAAGAGGAGTATGCTCATGGGGGTGATGCTGTGAATGATCATGCTGATCATGATGATGATGCTGATGATGATGATGGAGATGATGATTTAATGATGATGCTGCTGCTGATGATGATGATGATGATGATGATGATGCTGACGCTGCTGATACTGCTGGTGATGATGGTGATGCTAGTGATGATGATGATGCTGACGATGATGGCGATGAGGATGATTATGATGCTAATGATGATTCTAGTGACGATTCGGATGGTGATGATGGTGATGATGGTGGTGATGACGATGATGGTCATGATGGTGGTGATGATGATTGATGATGATTATGATGCTGGTGATGATGCTGGTTCTGCTGATGATGATGCTGATGCTGATGCTGTTGCTGCTGATGAGGATGATGATGCTGGGCATGATGATGAGAATGAAGATGAGGATGATGATGATGATGCGGATGCTGATGCTGCTGATGATGATGCTGATGATGCTGATGATGATGCTGATGATGATGATGCTGATGATGATGAGCATGATGATGATGATGACGTTGTTGATGATGATAATGATGATGGTGATGATGATGATGATTGGGATGACGATGCTGTTGATGCTGATGGTGATGGGAGGGCGGTGACGGGGAAGATGAGCTGGATGACCAGGAGGCCCACATGTGCCTTGGAACCCGCATTTTTCCGGCCCTACCGTTTTTCGCCTGCCCGGCCCAAGGTCGTCCTCCTGTTCTGCTGCGCCTACTGGCGCCGCGACACCAGGTCGACTGCCAACAAGCCGGCGCCCCAGCGGCATTGGGGCCCTCAGGATGACGCTTCTTTCTTCGACGGTGTGGGAGTTCGTTGCTACATCCGGGGGGTTTTCTTACCTGGTTAAGGCGGCAGTATCCATGGCGGGGCTTCAATTGGCGATTTACCGGCTTCCAGACCCTGGATTACTTGTCCAGTGATTACCGCGTTTATTTTGTAGGGTGTGCGTGCTTGTTGGGCTGCTCTGTCTCCCCCTGTTGTCGGGACTGCACCGTGGAAGACAACACTCCTGCCGCTACGTGACTCATTTCGCTCTCTAGAGGGTCTGGTATGCCCAAAGTTGGTCACGTGACCGCTGGGGGGAATGACGCCCAAACTGATGTCGCACAGACGTGCTGATTGACACCATCCAAGACACGCAGGAGTTGTGTCTTCCACCCGTCAGCATGCCACGACCCCTCGCCCCCGTGTCGCTGCCATCCTCCATGTTCTGCAGACCCCCGCTTCTTCCCTTTCTTCTGACGCCGCCTTCTCCAATCGCCGGGTCACGCGCGTGCGGGTACGGTAGGTTTGCGTCGTGTCGACCAGCGGCGACCCCAGCGCGGGCGTTCAAGGTTGAACGCCGCTGGCGACCCAGAATCGATCGACGTTGAACGATCGGACGTTGCGGCAGCGGCCGATCGTTCAAGGTTGAACGATCCCTGCGGTGTCAAAAACCAGCGCTGGGGTCGGCACGACACCAACGCTGGGGTCGGCAGATCTGCCTTCAAAAAACCGTTCTTACAGAGAGGACCCCGCCGCGACACGCCGACGCCGCGACAGCGTCAAGAGCCGCGTCAGCTCGGCCGCTCTGCCCCCGTGCCTCCTGCGCAATGAAGGCCTTCCAGGTGGCGGCCGCGGTGGCGCTGCTGCTCCTTGGCGCGGCCCCCGCCCGAGCGGCCGACGACGGCCAGAACCCACTGGGCAAGGTGCTGGAGCTGCTTGACTCCCTGTATGCCAAGGTGGCGTCCGAGGGCGATGCCGAGCAGAAGGCCTTCGTCGAGTACACCAACTGGTGCGATGATGCAGCGAGCAACAAGCGCAACGACATCAAGACCAGCGAGGCGAAGAAGGGAGACCTCGAAGCCTCCATTGGCAAGCTGACCAGTAACATCGCCGTGTCCGAAGGCAAGATTGAGGAGCTTGTCGCGAGCATCGCAACGCAGACCAAGGACCTGACAGACGCAACGGCCATCAGGAAGAAGGAGGCATCTGAGTTCGCCTCAAACGAGGCAGAGCTGACGGACTCCATCGACACGCTCGGGCGGGCCATCAGCATCGTGTCGAAGGAGATGGCGAAGAATCCCGCGGCTTTCGCCCAGGTGGTTCGTTGCACAAAGGCAGAACTTCCATGAGTGCTCATTTCCTCGATGCCTGATCTTTCTTTCCGCCGGCCTTCTCTCCGCGGAGGCGCCCTCGCTCTACTTCCAACGGCTTCCGCCAGCCTCCCGACAGAGTTCCGCCGAGCAAGCGGAGGCAACTCCTCGATTCAGAGCCCCGGATCATCAGGGGTAACTCGGGTCAGGGTTAACTCGGGTTCGTTTTTCGGGAATCCGAACCCGAGGTACCCTGGGCCCGAGTTACCCCGGATAACTCGGGCGTCCAGAGCCCCACATCATCAGGGGTAACTCGGATCAGGGCTAACTCGGGTTCCTTTTTCGGGAATCCAAGCCCGAGTTACCCCGGACCCGAGTTACCCCAGATAACTCGGGCGCCCAATCGATTCTTTGAGAGCGGGGGGGGCCTCTCCGGAACTCCCCAGGTGGACACTTCGAGCTTCAAGGACCTGATGCGGGGCCTCACGGCCGTCATGGAGGCCGCCTCCTTCTCTGCGGCCAGCCAGAAGAGGCTGGCTGCGCTCGTGCAGTCCAGCCAGGGCTCCGAGAGCGAGGAGGACCCCATGGGCGCGCCCGCGGCGGTGGTCTACAAGACGCACTCCACCGACATCTTGGACCTGCTCGAGGACCTCAAGGAGAAGGCTCTGGGCCTCCCAAGTGGGGCTGGAGCAGATGGGGTGGGAGGGTCGCGCCGACTCGCAGATTCATCCGCGATGCAGCGGCATCTGGTACACGTTCTCGTCTATCCTACCGTCGTCGGTGCATCGCCAGTGCATCGGCGATGCGGTGCGATCCTCCGAGCCCATCTCTTCTGGCCAGCTTTGGGAGGCCTCCAAAGGCCGAGGAGGACTTGGCGGCCCTGCGCAAGGCTGAGACGAGCACGAAGCAGAACTTCGAGATGCTGGAGCAGTCGCTCACCGATGCGAACACCAACGACAACAAGGACATGGCGGACGAGAAGGCGGCGAAGGAGGCAGCGGAGGAGGAGAAGGCGTCGAATACCAAGGACCTTGAGATGACGGTCAAGGCTCTCGCCGACGCGAACTCCGTTCTGGAGAGCATCAAGAGCGACTGCATGCAGGTGGCTGCGGACCACGAGGCGACCGTGGCCGGCAGGAACGCCGAGCTCAAGGCCATCGCGGACGCCAAGAAGATCCTGGAGGACACCACCTCGGGGGCCGTGGCGCAGAGCTACAGCTTCGCGCAGCTCTCGTCTCGCCGCTCGCAGATGCGGACGTCCGCGGACCTTCGGAAGGCTGAGGTCATCACCGCGGTGCAGCAGCTGGCCAGGCAGTACCATTCCTCGGCCCTCGCGCAGCTGGCGTCGCGCATGCAGGCGGTGGTGCGTCTCGGAGCTGCTGCCGGCGAGGATCACCTCCTTGAGGGGAGGGTGGGAGGGCTGAGGAGGGATGGGGAAGGGAGGGGCGCCCGGTGCCTAAGGCAAGGGGACGTCGGGAATTATAGGGGCAACAGTAATACGCATAAGAATAACAAGACGTTGAAGAGTACTGATAATGATGATACGACGAATCTTCATACTACTCGTACTACCAGGCATACTCAGAAGACAAGAAGACAACAGGAGACGACGAACAGCACCACCAACAACACAGCAGCAACAACACTATTTGGCTTTCTCAAGCATCGGCAGGTTTGACGACCTGCGCAAGGCGGAAGGGAGGAGGGGTGCCCGCTGCCACAATGTGTTGGCGGCCAGATCTGCAGCCGGGCCATCCCAACGGAGGGAGACACGGCGCCTGCTGCTCGGGGCAGGAGGGCGTGAAGAATTGAGATCACCCGCGCCACAAGACAGGACGGAGGCTGAGGAGGAGGAGGAGGAGGAGGAGGAGGAGGAGGAGGAGGAGGAGAGGAGGAGAGGAGGAGGAGGAGGAGGAGGGAGGAGGAGGAGGATGAGAGGAGGAGAGGAGGAGGAGAGGAGGAGGGGGAGGAGGAGGGGAGGAGCAGGGGAGGAGGAGGAGGACGAGGATGATGATGATGAGGAGGAGGAGGAGGAGGAGGAGGAGGAGGAGGAGGAGGAGGAGGAGGAGGAGGAGGAGGACGAGGGGAGTAGGAGGAGGAAGGAGGAGGAGGAGGAGGAGGAGGAGAGGAGGAGGAGGAGGGGAGGAGGAGGAGGAGGAGGAGGAGGAGAGGAGGAGGAGGAGGAAGGAGGAGGGGAGGAAGCAGGGAGGAGGAGGAGGACGAGGAAATGATGATGATGATGATGGATGATGATGATGATGATGATGATGATGATGATGATGGATGAGGAGAGGAGGAGGAGGAGGAGGAGGAGGAGGAGGAGGAGGAAGGAGGAGGAGGGGGAGGAGGAGGGGAATGAGCAGGGGAGGAGGAGGAGGACGAGGATGATGATGATGATGATGATGATGATGATGATGATGATGATGAGGATGATGATGATGATGATGATGGATTGATGATGATGATGATGATGATGATGATGATGGAGGAGGAGGAGGAGGAGGAGGAGGAGGAGGAGGAGGAGGAGGAGGAGGGAGGAGGAGAGGAGGAGTAGGAGGAGAGGAGAGGAGGGGGAGGAGGAGGAGGAGGAGGAGTTGAGGTCGATCCCTGCCGAGCACCGCCCTCGCGCCCCTCCGCGCGCGCGCGCCCCTGTGCGGCGAGGCACGTCTGCTCCGCGCGCCGCGGCCTGCGGCACTCTGCGGCGCGCCGGCGCCTCTGCGGGCTGACGCCCGCGGGTGGCCAGATCTGCAGCCGGGTCAACTCGACGTCTCGTGGTCCCGATGCCGTCGTGGCTCTCCCTGCGGAGCCCGGGTCGTTCGCCGAGGAGGCGGCGGGAGGACGGGAGCCGTGGCACGCCGGAGGTCCCGGGCGCGGAGCTCCCAGGGGGCCGCAGCCTCGGGACCAGGCAGGTCAGGGAGACGAGCGGGGAGGAGGAGGAGGGGGAGGAGGGGGAGGGGGAGGAGGAGGGGGAGGAGGAGGGAGGAGGAGGAGGAGAGGAGGAGGAGGAGGAGGAGGAGGAGGAGGAGGAGGAGGAGGAGGAGGACGAAAGCGCCGCGGCAGGCCGGCGGCGCGGAGCTGCTGCCCCCCCTGCGGCCGTGGGCTCACTCTGCGGTCTGTGGACGTGCTGGCGGCGGGGTGCGTCCGCCCGGGAAGGGGAGCAACGCTGCACCGTGCAAGCTGGTCTCCTGTGGGCCCCCCTCAGCCTCCCCGGCTGGGGCCTCCCCCTCTGGGAGTCGTGACCGGGGTGGGTTCTCCACCCACCTCCAAGGTGTGAGCGGGCCGCATGTTGGCGGGCCGCGGGGTGTCTGGGGCGCGCGGCATTGACGCGCGTTTCCGCTGGCATGAATGAATGAATGAAGCGGGGCAGGGGTGTCGGGGGCGGCGCCAATAGTCGGTGAAACGTAAGACCGGGGGCGGCGCCAAGAGTCTCGGGGCTTCGCAGAAGAGCAGCCGCCGATTGGCCAAGAGTCGGGGGCGGCGCCGAGAGTATCGGGGGCGGCGCCGAGAGTATCGGGTGCAGTCGGGGCGCTGAAGAAGGGACCCTGTTCGTTGGGGAGGGGCTCGGTGTTCCTTGATTGTTCTACAATTTGCCACGGGTTTTCCTTGGGTGTTCAATGGTAAATCGAAGTTTAACTTATGCAAAAAACGGGCCTCGTTCCTTATTCAGGGTTC